AGGCAAAAATACAAGATATTTATATAAAATACATTAATATGAAATAGATATTTAAGATAGTAAAGAAATATAAGAAAATAAAGAAATTAATATAATAAAGAAATATGTGAAATTAGAGATCGCTAAGAAATTAGTGAAATTTGAGAAATCAGAGAAATGGTAGAAAGTTGAGAATCGTGATCGACATGATTACCATTCATTAATTAGGTTAGGCGTAGTATCATGCATCATAATAAGACTATCATTAACAACGTAATAGGAGAAGAAGTCTGAAGAGATTCTAGCTTGAAGATTCTAGCATCTAATTCATTCATATCATTTTTCATATTGAAAAGAATTGAAAGAATCTGATCCAATTTATTATTAATCTTATTATTTGGATTATGAACAGAATCCTTCACAGTTGGTTTGATAACATCATTTGGTGGTGGATGTGAAGGAGTATTCTTATTCTTGATGGTCTCAGAATATGATTTAGAAGAGCAGTTTGATTGATTAGAATTAACAAATTTTTTTAAAACCAGCAGGTTTAAATTTGTTATAAAGTCTTTGCATCGAGTTGTTTTGAGTAGTAGACTTAGATTTTGGTCGATCTTCATTATCATTTGGTAGGACAAGTTTTTTTGTAAATAGTGATATTGCATAACTAAATATGCTGGATTACTACATTTGTGACAACTTCTAGCATCAGGAGAACACATGATTGAGAGCTTCTTCATTTTCAAAATGTAGGATAACAAAAAGGCAAGGTTTGTAATTGTTAGATCTTAGAATATAACTAGCTTTAGCTTTGGTTGCAAAAATTATATCATAAAGATCTCTTGCGGTAATTCTAAAAGAAAGGTTTGTTAGTTTGATGTGATATTGTTTCTATATTTAATCTCTTCTGGAAACATATTATAAGGATTGATACGAATAGAATTATTTTAGATAAATCAGCTTCACACTTGATAAAATAATTCGATACGTTTGGAATTTTTGTAAATGATTAGGTATATTACCACATACCTCTTACTGTCATTCAAAAATCAGTAATAGTCTCATATTTAGCGAAGACTTGTTTAATATTGGCAGGTTTTATTTGCAATAGAATATCAGTAACATGAATAGTTCTTTCATTAAATTGCATATTAGCTTTGTATTAGGTGAAATCGCAGAAAGAATTGATCTTTAGATCAGGAATAGTAATATGATAGCTGCATCTGATATCACAAAATAGACAATTACCAAACGTATCAAATTTATGTGATGAACAGATACTCCTTTAAAGTTGCCATTTTGAGCGAAAATATTGTTGATAGCAAAAATAATTTTGCTGTTATCCTTTTCTTTAGAAGTAAACTTGATACTACTAATGACTGCAAAAGGAGTAGCTTTGGTAACAATCGTAAAATCTTTCAAATCTTCTTTCATATTATTATTTTCAAAATGTTCATCAGGATTCAAAAGTTTGGACCTATTCTTAGTTAAGGAAGAAATTTCAGCAATATTATCAACATTCATATTACTGTTATTGTTGTTATTCAGAATCAGAATAACTGTTGAAATTTTGTTGATAGTAACAATTTTAGAAACGTTGAAGATTTCAAACTCCATTTCTTTATTTGATATTAGGCCAAAAACTTCTTGGACAATTTTTAAGTCAAGTTTGGAAGGAATAGAAGTTGAGGTTGAAGAAGACAAAGGAGCTAGTAAAGAATTAGCAGCTTTCTTTGGAGTTTTAGGGGTGATATATGGAATGAACTTAGGATCACTATTTTTTTATTTTGCAGTATTTTTACGCGTCATAACTCTCTCGCGTAAGGTAGAAGGTAAGGTAAAACAAAAGAAACCTTTTTTATACTAGTTTATTAATTAATTTTTTTGTTAAAAATGAACTTTTAAATTTTTTATTTTTTTTATGAAAATTTTGGTTTTGTAAAATAGGGGAGAGAGTTTTTTTTATTCCAATTTTTAATAAATTGAATTAATATATATCTTGATATTAATCACACGTTATATGACGAATACCATAAAAGAAAATTATGCCTCTTTATGCATAAAGGTTACATAAAGTGTATTGAGACTTAAATTAAAGCTAAAAATGATGTTAACAATGCTAAAGAATTCTTTTTATACACTTATATATTAAAAAAATTTATATCTCTCATAATTAATTAAGTCACCTGTAATTAATTATCATCTTCATAATTAAATTACGTTTACAAATATTAATTACTACCCCATAATTAATTACGTTTCCCAAAATTAATTACTATTTATGTAATTAATTACGTCTATAAGTATTAATTACTACCCCTATAATTAATTTCACAATTATGTTTTTTTAAAAAAAATGGTAATTAATTACCATAATTACAGATTACGTATATACTTAATTAAAATAATTATTATGTCAAGTATAATCATAATAGTTGAAATCAGTATATAAAATCTAAGTTAAAATTTATGTGCACAAATTGATTAATTAATACTAAAATAAGAAAATCATAACATTTTCTTATGTAAAATTACCTTTAGTAGTATGTCTTAGGATATATTAATATATTAATATATTAATATGTCTTAGGATATACTACTTATTCCAGACTAATATGTCCTAAGACATTATAGTTTATTAATTAATATGTCCTAGGACATTATAGTTTATTAATTAATATGTTCTAGGACATTATAGTTTATTAATTAATATATTCTAGGACATTATAGTTTATTAATTAATATGTCCTAGGATATTATAGTTTATTAATTAATATGTCTTAGGATATTATAATGTGATTTACATATTATGACCTATTGGTTAGTAATATAGATGAACTGTACGCCTATTTGGTTGCCTGTTAAAATGCCAAATTGTGATAAAAAATCATGTCGGGTGGCGCAGTAGATCTGTGATTAATTTCGGCTGACATTATGTTATAATTCTGGTCGATATTTAGAGCACATGATTTGAAGATCTAGCTTAACGCCATGATGGTGATTTGGTAGTATCCTGAAATTACTATAGTGCTGTCATGGAACTGGTAGGGAACTCTCATGGAACTTGCAGGAAGCCAGAGATGTTCTATTAGTTCGCCAGTTTCAGATCACTTTTTGGATACTGAGTTATTATATCTAAAGATCTGGTCAAAATCATAGAATAGTGTTGGCTGAAATTAAGTGAATATTTACTGCGCCTACCTTGTTAATCATGTGATTCAGTTCCTTGCCAGTTTCAAGCACTTTCCCATCACTTTCTTGCAACTTTTGAGAGACTGGTTTGAGGATCAGAAGTACCAAGATTGACCTAGTAATTGCCAGAAATTAGTGCTGAATTTGCTTGCAATTCCACTTTATATTCCCATTTGATTGCCGGATTGAGACATGAAATGCCGAACTTGCAATCTATTATATTTTTCCTCTCAATTGCCATTTTTTGATTGCTGGATGAGACACGAAGTGCTGAATTAGTTCAGGCTATACATTTTTCATACACTTTTTTCTTATATTCTCCTGAGTTTTTTCACCTTTCCGATCTCTTTCTTGCCTATCAGCGATAGTATCTAAAAGCATAATTTCTTATTTTTTTCCTATATATAATTCTACCTTTGGGTACTACCAAATTTATATCTTAGTTTTCGTTCCTGCCTTTCTAGAACTCTTTCTTGTATAGTTGCTATTTTGGGCTATTCCTATGTATGATTACTTTGGGTTATTACTGCATTGATTACTTTTGGATACTACCACATTGATTACTTTCTTTCAGCTTGGCATTGGGTACTGCCACTGTTCCAGTATTTTTCTGGCAAGCATATTCGTGAGAAATTTCAGGATGTTAAAAAAGATGATTCGTCTAAAGCCGATATAGACGATATCATCGAATTATATGAATAAGTACTCTTAGCAGGATATAGCAATTTCAACTAAGAATACTTAGCTATTAGTCATTAAGACACTTTGCTAGGCACTTCACATAATATTATTTACATATTTTTTTCTCGTGCAATAATACTGGCTAACTTCAATTACTATCTTCGAACTTCTGGCCTCCGATCATACAGCCCGGCCTTAGAAATACCCGAAGATAATAAAAAATAGTTCTGGTTAGGAGAATACTCAGTATTACTTTTTTTCCATGAATTCCAGCATTTTCTGATCATAAGCCATATAACCGCAATCAGTAATAAAGCAAGTATAGAATATGTCACTATCGGCGATATTAGAGAACTCGTAATGATAAGAACAGTCACTGATGCTAGAGGCATTTTTATTTTCTGACTGGTTATCTCATGTGTCGCTTCTATCCCTTTTTCCATATATCCTATTGTATATTCTTTCGAATTACGGTCATCATTTACTCGTTCCAATTCAAGCCTAAAAGAATTGATCTCTTTGGGATCAGATGAGTTTATTTGGTCTGGCTCCCTCCCATTACATCCAAATTGTGATATGTACGTTCTAGATTAATGTCTTCCAATTTACCTTCCAAATCACGTATTTTAGTTTCAAGAGAAAGAATCTTGATCTTGTTAATGGACGAAGCTTTCTGGACCAAAGTTAGCTCTCTCTTTAGTGTTTTAATATTTGATTTAAACGATTTGTTTTCAGCATTTAGCTGGCTAATTTTATCATTATTGCCAGAACTGGTATGTCGAAATGCCTCCTCTCGCTTTGAGTATACATTCTGTAGGTCTCTGTATTCATAGGTAAGCTCAGAATTAGATTTGATACTACTGCGCAACGCATCCTCAAGTTCTATTTTACGAGCACTGCCCAGGTGATGACCTAAACCAATGTATTTTGCTTTAGCACCTCCGGTCAAGGTATGTATATTACATATGATCTAGGCCTAATTATGAATCAAAAAATAAAGATAAGTGTACTAAAAATTCATCTTTTTTTCTTCAGGATGTGTAGATATCAGATCGAGAGAAGGGCTAGACTTTCTTTTGCAGTGCCAAAGGTATAAGGGAGGCATATTTTTTTATCAATATAAAATAATAAATATCGTTTTCTATCATTTTTTATCATTCAAGAGCAATAAAAATCATTTTCTATCATTTTCTATTGTTTTTTATTGTTTTTTATTGTTTTTCATCATTTGAAAATATTACATATCGTTTTTTATCATTATGAAAATATTGCTATAAAATTACTGGAGGAATTATGGTCGACCCATTTTTAAAAACTCATTATCGGCGAGGTGCTACTGATTTAACGCCCGAGCAAATCAAAGAAATTAAACATCTCAAAAATAAGGTTCCTACGTATATGATAGTAAAGGATTATCATATACGTAAAGAGCACGTCTATGATATATGGAACAATTGTGAGCGATCACAACAGAGTAAAAAATATATATTGGCAGAAATCTTTAGTACAGACAAAAAAAGCAGAGCATAGTATTTCTGATTCATCTTCAGCGAATGTGGTTGCTCATGAGCCTGTTTATTTAAGCAAACCGCAGGATAAACAAAAAAAGGTTTGCAAGCAAGCATTGAGTTCTAAGTCCACTTATCTTTCAAATGGTTCATTGGAAATAATAAGCGGAAGCATAGAAACAAAAAAAGAATCTGATCCCTTAGCCTTGGCACCTTTGGCTAGCGAATCATCTCCTAACCTGCCACTTATTATTTTGCAAGAGTCTAAGGATGTTATGGAGCTGATTAAGAAATCGATTATTGAAATGGAAAAGGTTAGGGCAAAAGGTCGTGAACTTAAATCTAAATTGACTGCTGATACTTAGCCCTATAATCACATAAATCATTATAGTGCCCTATAATTTTCAAATTCATCTGTATACCGGTAAATAACATTCTTTCAAGCTTCTCATAACTCACTTTTTTTTAATGTACCATCCTCGCTTAAGTCCTGCGAGTCTTGAGAAACTTTGTCCGGAATTGAGGAATCATCACATTCAGGAGTAGTAGTCACACAGTTCACCTTGAGCTTGTTCTTGACCTTATGTATATTAATTGGGATAAAAATTCCTTACCATTACACTCTAGTCTCAACTTCTACTTTGATAAAAGTAAATCATAATTATATTTATCAAGAAGCGTGTTGGGTAAGATTAGCATTGGCTTAGGATACTTAACTACAGCAAAATCAGCATATATAGTACATCCAGAAGCAAAATTTACTAGGACATTTCTAACAATACCAAGTGACTCTGTGGGAGTAGTAGCAATGCCTCTGAGATCGTGTTTTTCCTTTGTATCAATTTTTAGCTTTGATCATTTAGATATATCCTCAGACATAATCAGAAAATTAGCACCAGGATTAACTGTATCTGCCAGAATCACTAGACGCTTAATTTTACATTTAACAGTGACAACATCTATAGCAGGTTCTTTTCTCTGAACGAAATCTATTTTCATGTGGTCATTGATAAACTCATCATCCTCAGAATCGGCCAGTGTTTTAGAATCGCCATTTTGTAGGGTAAGGAGAGTAGTGATAGTGCCAAACTTTTCATTAAGCACTTTCTCAATAATTTTCTCAATACTTTTTTCTAGGCAGGATTGTTCATTCTGTGACAGGGACTCTGAACTTCGCTTTTCCTTCTTAGAGATAGGAATCGTTGATAAAGGAGGAGTTTCTATATCTTGTTCGCTTAAGCGAATCTTGTGACCCCTTGATTTCTTCTTTTTTGGTGGAGGAGAAGAATTACTCAAGTCTTTCTTCACTTTTTTTTACCCGAGATATATTAACATTAATTTCAGTATCGGCCTCAGCCTCAGACTCTGATTCAGAAGAAGAACTCTCAGAACTAGAAGAGCTATCCTCAAACTCTGATGAAGAAGTATCATTATCAGAAGAATCTGATCCTAATTGTTCGTTTACTCTAGCTATATGGATTTGACCACTTTTGGATTTTTTCTTCTTCTTAGACTTATTTTTCAATTTCTTTTTCTTTGTTTTAGAAGACTTACAAGTAGATTACGCCCACTTTTATGTAACTTTTTGACCGCATTAATTTGCTTGGAAAGCTTGGCATAGTTGGCATTAGCAACACCTAATCTCCTTATTAATTCATCATTAATATAATTATTTAAGGATGTAAGATCTTTTGGTGCATCAGGTGGCATTTCCAAACGCACTGCATATATATACATCTTTTCTAAAGCCTATCATTCTGGGAATGCGCATGGATTGGTTGAGCTAGCTGGGTTCGTAGGGAGGCTAATTCAGATTTTAACTTTTCAATCTTAGCTGAAGTAGCTCCTTGAGAATTGGTTTTATATAAGAGTTGATGCAGAGTCATTCCAAGAATTTGCTGGGCGCTATATCTCTCAATTTCCTCTAATTTCTTAATTAATGCAGGAAGAGAAGTCTCTAAGCCAATTCGTCTTACTTAAAGATGGGAACTGTAATTAATATGTTGCAACTTTTAATATTGCAACTTACATTGCAATTAGTTTTAACCTATATATGTTGCAACTTATAATGTTGCAACATATGTTGCAATTAATTTTAGCTTATGTTGCAACATTTTGTAAATTTGAAATCAATTGCTGTACCATCTTTAGTCTTACTTCTATTTGGTTATCAGGCTTAAGACCATGAAAAAATTGCTGTTTAACTAATTCATCTTGATTTATAGCAGGAAGTAAAGGGTATACTAATTTAACTATTCTCTTTAAGTTAGCATAGAATCGCCCTACAGGGTCATTACCTTGAACAAGCGACTGAAATTTAACTTTAGATTTTTCAGCAGTAACTGTAGGAAAGTCATGTTCAAAGGTATATATTTTCTGACTAACAAACATTCTAGGAGCTATAACATTACCACCTGCATAAGCATTTGGTGCATTTGGAGCTAAATCCTCTTCCCAAACAGTATATCCAGGTACTATTGGATTGGCAATTGCATTATTATCAGCCGGTATAGTATTTCTTGTATGGAGAGCTCCACCTCGAAATTGATTGGCATTAATAGCATGCAATGCATTATTATTAGCCAGACCATTGATAGCACCAATATTTGCAAGATCAGTATTATCACTAATGTTTTGCAATTCCCAGTTTCTTCCCTTTATCTCAGTTTCATACCAATCTTTTGCATAATCTAGTAAACCTGATTCAAAAAGTCCATCAATACGAATTCAGTGTTGATGAACTGTATTCTGATCATGATTAGGAGAAGCTTCATACCATTGACGCAAATTTCTTATATAATCTGCTGGATCTTTACCAGCTAAACCATAAAATTTTGGAGGCGGATATCCTGCCATTCCTATATGTTGTATATTAGGTGGGTTATTCTGAAGCACCAAAATTTGTTCCTGTAAATTTAAAATATTCTGGTTTCTTTGCCTAATCACCAGTTGAAAAACAAACTTTTCACGTAGCAATTCGCCAATGCGGGTTTGTTTTCTCACTATAATGACTAACATCCTATTTACTTAGTTTTGGGCATTAGTCTACAACCGTTGGCTATTTTGCTGAAGACGGTTAGTATCTCGCTGATACAATAGCTGTTTAGCAAATTTTCTCGCAATAATCCTTGAACACGCCTATCTTTATCCTGATATGAAAACATCTAGCGACAGAATTCTTGTCTCTCATTATTATAGGCTAACATAGCCAAGTCCCGCTCTCCTTAAGCATTGTCTCTTTCTCTCACAGTTCTTTCAACCTGAACTCAGGATTCATCTAATAAACGTTGTAACCGTAAATTCTGATTTCCACTATTAGTAAACTGATTCCTAAGATTATCTACTCGCTGAAATGAATCATGTAATAAGTTCTGAAATTGATCACGCTCAGCTGTAATATTTTGCAAAGTAACTCGAATAGTATTTAATGAGCCTCTGATGCCATTTATAACATTGGCAAGATTCTGCATAGCTGTACCAACTCCCCTAATATGATTTTCAATTCGATCTAATCCTCTATTAAGTTTGAATAAGATTAGTCATTGCCATTTCTAAAGCATTTATTGAGATTTTTTTATCTATGAGAATCCAGATTCTTGCTTTAAGACTCCTAACCTTATTTTCGAGCTCTATAATTCGGCCATCTTGAATAGACCCAACCTCATCTTTGAATTTTTCATTCTGTTGTAAAACTCTAAGCTGTTTTCGCAAATCAGATATTTCTGATTTAAGTTTTTCTACCTCTTTTTCGTGAGCTATAATAGTATTATCCTGTAATGAGATAGTTCGATAGCATTGCTCAAGCTCCTTCACAAGAGAGCGAATTTTTTTCTCATTACTCTTATTAATAAAAATCTCATCTTGAAGCTCATTATGAAGCTCCTGATTCGTATCTAAAAGCTGTGAATATGCCAGATCAAATATGGTATTTCATCCTAATTTAAAGTATCATCATAATAATCCTACCTTGAGAATGAGCCAACCGCAAATTGTGATATATCCCGATGAGACTCGTAGTATAAAACGTAATCTTATTCTATGAGAGGTATATTATTGACCTACTGGATATTTTTCTAACCCTAAATCCCTAAGGAATGCATGTAAAAAAGAGGGACACTGAATCCGCCTAAGTGAATGCAAAGATTTTTTAAAAAATCAAGAGTCATACCAAACTAATAAAACCTCTCCAAAATACATCCCTAGAGTCAGCTATGGGTGAATAATACGTTCCAATTGTGTACACCAGTGCGATATACTATTTCTCACTCATGATCACTATAGAGGTAAAAAATATAAAGTAGTACTTAATATTATAGACTGCACTTTCGATATAAGGCTTTTATTCCACTTACATCGAAGAATAGTTCAGAAGTTGCTAAAGCATTTAGGAGAGTATATAGTGATCGAAATAATCCATTGACATAGCCAAAGCTTTTACAATGTGATAGGGGTCGTGAATTTATGGGTGAAACCTCCAGATTATTGTAAGAGCATAATGTCACAATTCAAGTGATTAGTCCATATTCCCATAGAGGTCTTGCATTTGTGAAGCGTTTCAATCAAACACTCTCGAAGATTCTATACAAGATCTAGTATACTGTTAAATCAATATCTTCCGATCCTAAATTAATAAGAGCATGGGTTAGATATTTGCCGCAAGCTATTGATTATCTAAATAACTACTTCACGCATCTTATTCGAGAACCGGGATCAGAAAAGTGGGGACTTAAGCCAGTGAAAGCCATTGCTTTAGAGCGAGTTGAATCTAGACCATCCACAAAATATAAGCATCCAGTTGGAAAAAATGAAATAAGGTTAAAGAAAGGAGATACCGTCTGCTACCTATTTGCCAATGTGGAATGGAAGGGTGGAATGGAGAATTAGAAAAGGGCAACTAATCCTATATGGTCGCTTTCTATCCATAAAATTCAAAAAGTTGTTGCCATAAAGAATGAACTGGTTTTATATTATCTTGATGGGAAATTTGTACTATCTCACGGGTTTGTACGAGAAGAACTTATGTTAATAACCGACCCAGAAAAAGTTGGATGTCCACCTCAAAGCATATTATCTGTACATGTTGCCTATGTCAGTAATAGAGAGATAGATCAAGCTATTAATTATGCTAGAAGACGTGATAGTTAGTGTCTAGGAAGGATTAGTCAAATAAATGGTCATGATGTGTATCTTTGGTCTTGTGAGAATGGTGCACATCAATGGGAGTATCCGTTAAAATATATCATGAAAAAATTTGAATGGTGCTCTCTATATTATCATTCAAGCAGTGAACACTGATGCAAATATATTTTCGAAGATCTGCTAGAAAAAAAATTCCCATCCTGCAGACCGTCATTCTTGGATGGAATGCATTTAGATGGCTATAATAAGGAATTGCGTCTTACATTTGAATTCTAGGGCCCTCAACACTACCATCACAATAGTTTTTATCACCAGGGAAGTGAAAATTTATATTCACAAAAGATACGCGATCAGAAGAAGCGGAACATCTGCAAGAATCAAGGAATATGCCTTATTGAAATTCCTTATACAGCTGATCTCTTGTCCTAAATCAGACATACTCTAATCGAGAAAGGGTTCTTAAAAAGGCGAAGAATTAAAAGGGATTATTTTAGAATATCATTAGTAATAGTTCGACATGAAAATAAAAAAACTTGAACCAGTTAAAAGGCTTGTATACCATATTAACGAAATTAAAGATGCTAAAAAATATAACGGAAATTCAAGTGTTTTCCAATGGCCTTTCACTTTAGACATCTTTGGCTATACCAATACGGGAAAAAGTAATGAGATTCTTAATCTCACACTTGGAACTAAGCTTTATCAGATGTTTGATGGAAAGAAAGGAGGGACACACTATATCAAGAATGATGATTTGCTATGGATTGGTCACAATCTTAACGAGAAGAAATATATGTATCTTAAATCAGCCTATCAAATAATTGCTAATAGTCCAAAGCCATATTGTGAAAATATTTCATTCTGAGTTTTGAAGACTGATAAAATTCCCAAGATAGATTCATTTTCTCCGGATAGGGATACAGTAGCTATATTTGAGGATGTATGTGCCGATCCAAAGAAAGTGCAGGAGAAAATTATTCCTTATTTTCTTGAGGGACACCATTATAACATCAGTTCGATATATGTATTCCAGAGTTACTTTTACTGCCCAAAAATAATATGAAAAAATCTCTCACACGTCTGCCTATTCAATGGGTCATGCATTATGGATGAGCTAGTCCGAATTGTGCACCAATATGCTAATGACTTGCGTAGTGATATTAAGATTATTGACAAGGCATTATGTGAACAAAAATTCATTGTTTTCGATCTAACTGTACCTCGCGAACATCCATACAGGATACGTATCGGCTGGGATGTACCTCTCACTAATGAGTAGAATTTTTTTAGGTACTAAGGACGAAATGTATATTTTTTCCTGGTTTTAGATCATGTTCAGATTCACTACGCTTCTTTGCTCATAATTTCCTTTCATGAGTGCTAGAATATATTTCTGGTTCTATAGTCACATCATTATGCTTCATTTTGGAAAGGATCTGATCAACAAGAGCGATAATTTTTCTATCTTTAACAGAAATAATATCCTCCAGATTCTGGCATCTATTCTCTAATAGGTCAATGGACTTTTCAGCTAATGCAATAGCTTTTTTCGTATCAGAAATTATACTTTTGAAGAAAGCTACCGAATCTGATAATTGGGCGACTTTCTCACCACTCTCTTCCAAAAACCTGGTCATGGCTACCTCACGAGACTTATACTACTCTTGCAAGTCAAGAAGTTCTTCAATCCTTTTTTCCAATACCTGCTTTGATATACATAATTTTTCATTTTCCTGCCTTAATGAAGTTTTACAGTCACTAGTAATCAGCTTCATCTTTTGACGCTCTTTTGCTTAATATAATTTCCAACCGCCTTATTTAACAAATCTTCCACTTCAGGATGGATACTACTTGCCTGTTCTATCAATAATGGATGTTTTCGTGAAGTAAGACGTCGCTATATATCTATTTTGATAGAATGAGGAAGCTGGTTAAGTTGTTTCGAATAATATATGTGAAAAGATGATGTTAGTATACTGGTCATTTCTTATAAATAATAAAAAATTTTGAGAATTTTATAGATTCAGAAATTTTATAAGAAAATTTTGAGAATTTTGAGAATTTTACGCGCCAATATCACGAATTGTGTCACATCTAGTAAGTGATTGGCTAGGCTCTAATCGCATGATCAATGATCACCAAAAGATCGTTAATGGGTTTTATCACATGATACAGATAATAAATTCTTTATTAATTCATTCTGTACTTGCTTATCTTCCAATTTCTCAACACTAGCCTTAAGCTCAAGAGTCTCAACTATAATTTTATTATTCTTGATTTCAAGCTTGGCAATGCATTGTTTCAATTAATCAATCACTCTGGAATAATCCATTTCAGATTGCATACTTGCGTAATGTAGTATTAGTATGTTAATATTCAAAAGTAAAAAAAATCACGTGTTTTCCAAAACCTTACGATCCTGCAAAATTGGCAAGAAAATTTTATTATACGATACATGCTAACCCACATGCAAAAACATGAATGTGTATTTATGAAATCGACCGCCAGGCCACTTTATTGATACAGTAAAAAATGATAATAAATTTACTAAATATATATAGTCCTATCTATTCAGAATCTACATTTGAACTATCTTTATTTCTTTTGGATCTAACTGGGGTAGCGTTAAGTAGTAAAGACATATTAACTATTAGAATATTTCGTAAAAAGAGTCTTTACAAAATTCGTTACAATAGATGGATCTGATTGTTATGCAGGGATTTCAGCTTCGTAAAGATAGTAGTAATGATGCATATTTTCCACATCCCTGATAAGAACATTTAAATGCATTATTCGTCTGACAACTTGCATTCCAATTATTTTGAATTCACCTTTATCTGGCCCAGATGATTTATGAACCCAATACATCCCATCATTAGTTTCACACCATAATTTTATTTCATCATCTATTTCCTTCTGTGATGTACAAGACAAGCGTGAACTTTAAACATATATGAGCTCATATTTTTTTCCATCATACTTCATCACAAATATGATATTTGGCCGTCTTCCTGTTCGCCTTTCGCCTTTCCTATCTGCACTAGCCGAACTTTGACGTTCAGCACTAATAGAAGAAGAACGTTAATAACAGTCTAGAAGTTTTCAAAATGTCACTTTTTCCAATTATATTATAATTTACGTGCTGACATAAGATGACTTTCCTAAAGGAAGACCTTTTAATATAACCCGAATAGCAGGTACTATTATGTTTAGGGTTGGGAATTTTGTATGTACTAGATAAAATTACCATTGTACTTGTACTATACTTGTACTAATTTTTATATTAATTA